ATATATGTCCGTGCAGGGTTAGCCGTCTTATATATTATGTATATAATATATAGTAGCGCGTATCGCGATAGATCTCCACACAGAGCACCAATGTGCACACTTTCGCACTTTCGAGCGATTTGGTGTAGAAGCCCGCTGACTGTCTGACAGTGGTATACTAAGACACCGCCACACGTACTATGGCAGGCGAGAAGGGACATAAATGATATTTAATGACCGTCATTAAATCGATTTATGTACCGTCATTAAATCGATTTATGTACCGTCATTAAATCATTTATGTACCGTCATTAAATCAACCAATCAGATGCAACTTATTTGTGCTCAGCCAATCACAAACATGGAATTATGTATTGTCATTAAATCGCTTTATGTATCGTCATTAAATCATTTATGTACCGTCATTAAATCATTTATGTACCGTCATTAAATCAAACCAAGGCGAGAAGGGACATAAATACTTCCGTACATAAATCAACCAATCACAGCCTACAATACAATGATCCGCCAGGGCGGCGCCAGCTATCTTCCGTACATAATTCGCCGCGCTCGTGCCCGGCCATCATCTTACTATAATTTGCCGAATGTTGTATGTATCATGTATGTATGTATGTTAATGAAAGGCCCCGTCAGTTTTGATCCAAATAGCGCCAAATTCACAGAAGAGATCGATGAATACACGGGACGGGTTCTAAACTTTAATCGGTTGAAAACGGTAAAAAAAAGGCTTAAAAAAGAGACACACAAAAAAGGTAAAGATTTGCCTGAAAATAGGGGGCGCTATATCTTTGCTTTGCTAATATTTTGCCGTCTGTGAACGTTGTGCTGTAATATTTCGCTGTCTGTCAACGTTGTGCTGCATGCACAGAGATTTTTGTAAGCCCAATAATTTAAATAGAAATAAGCATGTAATAATGAAGTTAAATGTTCAGTAGCTATTTTGGCATAGTTTTCGATATGAGATGTACAAATTGAATTTGATCAGAGCAGATATATATTTTTTAAGTCTGGAATGTTGTGCGGGTGTCGTGAACAGCGAGCTGTCACAAGCGGTCCGATCACAAGCACGTAATATTACGTGGTACGCAGCCAAGTGGTTAACGAGTGACACGACCTACCAGCCCAATGAGATCTATCTATATTCTAACTTTGGAGTCCGTATCATCAACCAGTACATAGCTTACAATAAAACATTTGTGTGTGGGTGCGTGTGTGTGTGTGTGTGTCTTTGTGTGTGTGTGTGTGTGTGTGTAAGGAGAGCGTATATGCGTATGTCGTATTTGTCATAGATGCAAGCAGAACATGTTGGCATACTCATGCATTCAGAAGCTGCGAATCTACCTCAAGTTCGCATAACTCCTCGTTTAGTTGTGTGCGGTGCACAGATGAACAATCGTAACCCATGTGGGTTGCCTTTGCCTTTGTTAGAAAGCAATATGCAGTGTATACATATATGCGTGTATATATGTATATGTATATGTATATATATATTTGTTTGTATATATATGTTTATTGCTGTATAGACAGCGTGTGTATCATGTGTGTCAGTGTGTAGCGTATGTTTGGTGCGTATCGGGTACGTGCGTGCAGATACTGCGCTGTTTCAGACGGGACGCGAAATTCGTCATGTAAAATGAGTAAGGATGGGGACGACTGTGTGTACGATACTAAAATACGCGTGACTGACTGGCTACCTTCTGCACGGTGGTATTTAGTGGGAAGGTGGTTTAGTGTGTGCGTGCGTGCGTGCGTGCGTGCGTGCGTGCGTGCATTCGTCGCTGGGTGTGTTCGTACGTGAATAAGCACGTATTTGGGCACGCGTATCTAAATAATTATTTAGCAATTCCCCTAATGCTGACGCGGTGTCGAGGCATTGAATATGGACGTGGAATATTGTATGATGTAACCTATATGGTAATGGTTGTGTACGTGCGTGTAGGAAAAATACAAATAAAGGTCCCGAGTATAACATCAAATTTTCGCGTTTGTACTGATGTCGCGGTGTTGAAGTCGTGTGCCTTGGTGGTGTGCTGTGTGGTGCTATCAGTGTATGTGTGTGTGTGCGTGCGTGCGTGAGTGAGTGAGTGAGTGAGTGAGTGCGTTTGTGTGTGGTCGTAACTAGTGAAGTAGATAGTAAGAAGTAGTAAGAAGTAGTAAGGCGTAGTTGGTAGTTTGGGTAGTTGGTATTAGTTCCGCCAGTAGTTTTGTTGTTTTGCTTGCGGCGCGCACACAAACATTGCGGTGATATAGTATACGTACATACACCAGCGCGCACACGCAATACAATATGTCATTGCCATTATTCTGTAGCGCCAGACATGATCGTGTTGTTCACTTCACGAAGCTTTGCCTAATCCTAACCAAAACCAGTATGTGAACCAAAGGTCCAGCAGCTCGTAAATCATAGTGAGCTGTAAAACAGTTTATGTGCTTTTAGTCGAACCCATAAAGCGTTCAACATTGTGTAGCATATCTGTGTCTTAATCTATCTATCTAACTCAGTGGTTCTTAGCCTTTTTTGAGCCATGGACCACTTTGAGAATCTGGTGAAAGCTACGGACCCCTCCCCAGAAAAATGCACATAAACACATAAACACAAAACTTTGCTCGCGCCTTGTCCACGGACCCCAATGGGGTCAATTGGACCACGTTAAGACGTCCCTTGGGCTCTAACTCTATCTATCTTTCTACTACTAGTCTATCTATCTATTTTCTAGTATACATATACATAATAGTATATTATAATAGTATAATAATATATATATATGATTATCCTATATA